CAGTGAGAAAATGGAGTCGCACAGACCGCTGAACCATCGAAGCATGTCCCGGCACGTTTGAAACAAATAATATCATCCCGTGAGTAACGATGGCGTATGATAGTGAGTGAAAAGGTGAAAATTCCCACAATGTGACGGAGAGCGTGCAAGTGTAGCGCAGCCAATCGAAGGGCGCGAACCATCAGTGTATTCACGCTGCACCATTTCACACAATCGGAGCAATCGACTGCACTAAACATGATCGTTACATCCCATTTCTTAATCAAGGTTCGCGAAATGCACAGCTGTAGAATATAAAATTTTCAATATCCAGTGACCTCAGAAAATTGTCGATAATTTTGATCTCATTCTACCGGAACACTTATGACTAAAGTCTGTACATAGAAGCTAAAGGGAAGGGGGTAAATCATTGGGGTTTTTGGTTAAAACTTTATGGGGAAAATTTGTGGATAATGTGAGCGGAGAGTATGAATCTCGTGGCTGTAATCCCCGATTGTGCCTGTATACTACGTCTGCAGTTGAACAATTGAAATTTTCCGACCATCATCAATTCCAAACAATTCACGTAATACGATGATCATACGTATCAGTATCACATGCTTGATTGAATGGTTCAGTTAACAACTGACCTGCGCAATTTGTTTATTCACCCGATTTGTTTTTCCTTCTTGCGTATCGAATCATCATGCATGTGATGCACTGCTGGGCAAGATTGCGTGGTTGGAATGCATCATAGTCAGTGAATTCAAACGCATGTGGGGGAGGGTGAATTGTGAACTAACATACAGATGCAAAATCCTGATGTGAACAAAACGTGAATTATGCACACACAAAAAGATGTGATTTTTGAAGCTTTTGGTCGCGCTTGTTCCGCACATTCAATTGGCCCTTCAATCATCGGATTAACGTGATGGATTTGAAAAGCTGCCATCAATGAACTGCCCAAATGTCCCAGTTAGGATCACAATTAATTAATTCGACTCATGGAAAATGTCCATTGATTAGAAAGGAGGTCGGCGAACTTGTGCTTTCGGTAGATTGATTTCCAAGCCTTGGCAACCAAATTTATGTGAAACTTCTTCGGTAGTGTCAGACAGAGTTGTGGATGAGTCGAGTGTGTTTGGTAGAGAGCCCGAGAGAACTCCAAATTGGTACGCTATATAACTTTTCTATTTGTGTCATGGTTATTTTAACAAGCAATTTTCTCCACCCTTGGATAAGGGTGTTTCAGAAGTTGTATCAATTTTCGTTGTGTGCACAATTCAGGTTTCATAATTTGTTTACTAATGATCTTCGCGGTCGCTGATGTTCGCGGGATTGATGATGGATAGATGGATAGATGATTGTGAGTGTGTAGTAACTGTAGTGTGCACTGAACACGAAATACGAAATCACGAATTATAAATCACGGACGCCACATAAGCACTGGATCACACTGGTACTTGCACGACTGTGTCCCACTTAACCGAGACCCGAGGAAAAGGTTATAGGATTAAATAATATGTACAAAACAAGTTCAATGGTCATCCAAGCCACGACCAATCACATACTAGTATTTCTTGCGTTGTACAGCTTTTGTCCGGGCCGCACGGTTTCTGATTAGTTGGTACAATCGGCCAGAAGCCATAAGGCGTAGACGCTTTGTTGGCGTTACTCGGGAAGTTTGATTGATCACAGTTGTCTGAAAACTGTAACGTGTTACACCGTGGTATGCGTCATCTGGTGGGATAAGATCAACACAGAATGCCAGACGCGTGNNCAAGTTTCCGGCCTCTAGCTGCTGGGCAATAGTTGACCTTGACACAGTTTGACTCCCACCTTGTTTGTGCCAGCGTGGATTGTGTTCTTTGATGCACTCAGATACTTGCCTTGTCGTTCAATCCTTATGAGTAGCACCACAAATGTACTTGAATTTATTAATGCAGAGCTGATATCCGCGGTTATCCAAGTCACGTATCTCAAAGAACTGATACTCGAATGCGCACAAAATTGACAATGTTTGTTTCATAACACGTTTTACAGCCAAATCAATGGTGTTGCTAAATACTCACTCCTGACCAAGTTAGAGATAACTTCCTCATCCACAGCTGTTAGCTGTTTTGAATGAGAGCATTGCTGTGTAGATGAGATTTCTTGCGTGGCTCATCGGAACACAAATGTCGAACACAATGAGTCAGATCTCGACGCAACACATTGGTCAGTTAGGGGCACAACTGAATCAGAGGAGATGCTCTTCTGACCACAGATGCCAGAGTTGGCTCTATCGAGAGAAAGAGATAGCGAAAAGCAACGTGGAGGACACATTATAGAAATGTTCATAACTTATTCTCATTTCATCAAAAACTAAACCTCGTTAGCTATGTCCTGCAGAGAGCAAGGTGCATCTGTTCAGAAGATACTTCAAAGGACAAACTGAAACTAGTGAGGAGAACGCTGCTGATAAATGGTTATCCTGAGAAGTATATCGACTGTAATTGGCTTGAACAGGAAAATCCCATAAAAGTACCGTAAGCGGAGAAGAAAGTTCTTTTTATAAAGCTTCTATTCCAAGGAGAAGTTGCCACCGAAGAGGTTGATAGAGTTTTATCGGCCGCCGTGAAGTTCACTTTTAACGTCGCTCAACTAAGATGCTTGTTCTCTACGTCACCAAACAACAAATATAAGTGGCCTATGTTGACCTCTCCTGTGATTGTCTATCGATTCAAGTGCACGTATGGTGTGACCTATGTAGGTGGAACGAAAACGCGGTTATCTCACCGTACCAAAGAACACAATCCGCGTTGGCTGGCACATGGTGGGAGTGTGTCAAGGTCAATTGTAACTCATTTAATAGAGACGGGACACTTGGTTGATATACGTTTGGTATTCACAATCATATGTCGAGTGACTTCACACGCGCTGCGACAGGGATCCACGCAAACTCCGAGCTGCGCCTTCATGAAGCTCCGCAATTTCTTCTGGCGGCCGCCAGAAGAAATTGCAGGGTATCAGGGCGTCATTTGCGGCGGCCTATGCTGTCTTCTCCGGGCCTCGTCCTTGGGAAACATTCTGAGAGCCATCGATTTACCCCGGTCCGTCCGTATCCCGGCGAGCTCTGTGGCATCCTCGGACCCCTCCATGAAAGTCCGCATGTCCTCATCCTCGGAAGTTGCAGGCCATGGAACCATCATCCTGGCGTCTGCGCTAGTTGTCATAACCACAGAAGATCCGAGCTAGCTTGAGGAGAATTATTTATTGCGAACCACATTTAGACTATGGATAATTTGACGTGCATATACAAATATATCTCAGTGGGAACATGTCATTGCAATGCTCGGCAGCACACATGATAATGAATGGAACAAGCCTTAGTTATCATTTCGAACACCGAAAATTGCTCTCAGAAGTGTTGTTCATTTTGATCTTTGAAAGAAACCACCCATGTGATCTTTTGCGTACTACTCAAAAATGTAAATGGAATCGCACAACATAGATACGTCTCCTCGCAATGACCAAGTAGCAAACGCAGCAACAGAATGTGGAAAAGCATAGGTGTATCCGAATTTCTCGTTAGTATTACAACCAATGGACACGATTATGGTTTTGTCTCTGTGATAACTGTAGTACTAGTAATAGAAATACGCACTGAACTCGGAATACGAACCACACAATAAGAATCACGGAATAGGAATCAAGGATTAGCAATCACGGACAGGATCACGTAAGCACTGGACCACACTGGCACTAGCACGTAATATCCCACATGACTGAGACGCGAGGAAAAGGTCACATGAGTAGTAGTTCGTTTATTGGAAGAAATAAGGAAGATTCAATAATATGTACAAAACATGCTCGTTGGTCATCCGGGCTTCTACCAATCGCGTTCCAGCATTACTTGCATCGTTTCGGTTCTGTCTGGACAGATGGGTCTCTGATTGGCTGGTAAAATCTACTTATGGTATGAATTCAAATGCAGTGACACGTACGAGCTTTGCTGACGTCATCCGTGAAGCTTGATTGATCGCAGTTGTTCAAAAGCTGTAATGCGTCGCTCCAGGATATGCTTCATCTCGTAGGCCCGGTTCACCACAGTCTCTCAAATGTTCGTTCGGAAAATATTTGATGTAATACTCTTTCACGTTGGTAGAAGCTGAGCCATCAAACATAAAAGCCAAAATAGACACTATCAAATTCAAATTTAAATTTGTATCATGGGAAAAAACTTACAAGGACTTCGATTATCAAATCCCATAGGGTGTTTACATTTGGTTCGGAACACGACTCACAAGATCACAGTTAGTCCATGTACATAAACGCGTATTGGCATGTTTTTGAGGAGCAAAGGAGAATATGTAGTTTGATGTTGAAACATAATGTTTGCCAGAGCATCATCAAGCTGAGGCTTGAAAGATACTAATGTTGGCGGACAGACCACGTGAGGTGGTAGAGAGTGCCATGTGTTGTACACTCTGACTGCAAATGAATGGCGTCTGCAGTCGAGATGGCTCTTTTGGAGTGCCAATTTCAGTGGATGCCTTCTGAGATGAACATTGATTGATAAAACTAAAAGGGATCTACATGGATGGTTGCGATGTTGAAAAATCCGATACAGTAAGATCATACCGCCGCTGATTTGACGATATTGAGATGACCATAGCCCCAGTGGCTGTATTCTTTTGCCATAGGTTTTGGAATGTAGACCTTTGACCATCTTGGTAGCCATTCTCTGTGGATATTCAAGTGACTTCCGATCTCGCTGCAGCCATGGGTTCCAGGCCTGAATTGAGTACTCGGTGTATGGACGGATATACGTGGATAACAGACGTGAAAACAAAGCCGGCCCAAACGATCCAAAAACACGTTTGAGCAGTCCAACCTGTTTTACCGCCATGGATGATGCCGTGGAACAGTTTGTGGAGCAACTCAAGTCTGCGCGGATGGCTACTACTAGATCCTTCTCGGATGCAGCATGAGGCAGAGTTTCGTGTCCGAGAGTGTAGGAAGAACGACCATTGTAACGTAGTGATAAAACTTTACATTTGGTAACGCTGAATTCCATATCATTAGAGACAGACCATTTGTGGGCTTCGTCAAGGGCGTTCTGACGATCAAATGAATCTTCAGGTTTTGTCATTGTCCTTCATATTTTGGCATCGTTTGCAAACAGCAGAATTTGTGGTCCGGGGACGTCTGGAATATCATTTATAAAGGCACGGAAAAGACGTGGGCCTAGTACAGATCCCTGCGGAACCCCACGGTTGATATCTATCATCATCTCGTGGGCCAGGATCACCACAAAAAGACAGAATGTAATGATGTTTGGGATTAGTGCTTCGTAGGACAACTATGACTTGTAGTGCGCTCTACGATCAGAAATCTACCTAATCCTTTTCCAATTTAAATGATCATTTTTCTCAACGAGTTGATTTGCAATGACTGAGGTATGACATAAAAATACTGAGGTATGACATAAATTGCCCTAACCAGTATCTAACCTAATATTATAGCCCGGTCACCATGGGACTTGGTAGCCAATCAAAACGTTGACCATATAATTTTTTTTATTTTGAGATACTTACCTTCTCAATATCCTTTATTCAATCGCTGGACTCTTCGCTTGCGGATATTTGCAAAATCAATCTCGCGAAGTTTGATGATGTAATTTTTCGATATACTACTGTTGACTGTATACTCCTGATTTCACCCTGTTTAAAAAAAGTGTCTTTAAAATGTAGTGCATATCTGCTTTGTTCTGAGGGTCGGAACGTCTGAATTGATTATTATAGGTTTTAGGGCGTAAAATAATTACGGAAAGAATTGGACACATCAATTTTAGGGGAGCCTAATCAGCATCAAGCCCCAAAAGCAAGCAATTAGAGGTTCGATTAAATGGAGTACAGATGAACCGAAGCAGTCGGCTCGTTTGTTTTATAGCAGGCTGTGCTCCAACTGCGGTGGTTCGTTAAACAGTTTCATTGTGAATCCTTCCCCACCAGCTCATGGCCACCTTTTTGCAATAAGCAACCTTTGTGCCCACCTATTGATGAAAGAAATGAACCACAAGTTTCCCTTGCCATACAGTTTAAGGGTAAAACGTTACTCTAGAAACGTTAACAAAAAGATCGTATCAGAAAATTAGTTAGGGCAAAACACTGATAAGGCCAGTTCCTTTTTACACTTTTTGATATAGCGATGAATGACCGGTATTGTTGTACTATTGATCGATATAGCAATATAACGGTGCCCAACTGCATCGGTAATTACCGACAGCTGCCTTGCCGGTTTCACTAGGTGATGCATATGGAACAATTCATTGACCTTTGGGAAAATAGAATGTAAGGCACTTAAAGTGATCTATGAACTGCACTCGAAAAGCAGTATCATTTGGAAACACCGTCGGTGCAGGTCCACGGATAGGGTCACTATTGATGCTACGTGTTTCGATGCCTAGATCTTTAATGATGGATGCTTTCATGAAGCCTCTTTTGACATCTGCTTCACTTTGTTCACACGTTTTTCTATCATATGTTATCTATCCGCTTTTGTATACATTTATTACTCTCCTAAGTTCTGAGTGAAATTAATGGAAAAAGACGGATCTTTTTACTAACTGCTTAATATGGGGTTATTACCGAAGTACACCGGAAACACACGTAACCCTTTAGATGGAAAGCTGACCTAGACGACTAGGTAATTTTGTGCACTATTCGAATTGACCATGAATTTGTGCTATGTAAATAGTATTGAAAAACGTTGCGCCCTAAGTAAGTCTCGGTGTCGCTAATGTACTTACATACAGTCCATTCATCTTCAAATGGGTAGCTGCAGTCGGAAAGGTAGCTTCCGATCAAAAATCCAAGTTACATTGGGTCTCGAGTCAGCTGACAGA